GTTTATTTTCACTTTCAAAGCGAGATAAAGTCATTATATTAAGATTTTTAAAAATTCAACTTTTTCCTACTAAATGGTGTGCGGAGTGGATATTTCGAAAATCTTAATATAATGACTTTATCTCGCTTTGAAAGTGAAAATAAACATTGTCACTAAACTCAGCGTGGCTCATTACCACCATGTTGACCTATTTTGCGGTGATTCAAGGTCAAATAGCCGAAATCGGGGCTCCTAGAAAACGCTTATAGCTCCTGAATGGAACAAGCTAGGAAGGTCGGCCTTGTGTAGATTGAAAGAGAAAACATTTCTCTATCGAGTGGTGATATTATAAGCTAAAAGCAAATGGGAAATGTCTTCAGAATATCGATTTCAAAATGTCTACCGAGCACTCACCTGATTAGTCGATTGCGGGACCAATCAAATTTTCCACACATTTACGTCCCCCGGTCTTGTCTTTCACATGGTGAAAACCGCTAGCTATCTTCGTTAAAAAGTTATAAGCATTCTGCCAGATAGACTTCTTTTAAAATTTCGATAATAATTTAAAATAATTTGTAGTCTCAAACTTCTTTGAAATGCTTTAAAAAAAAATAATTTCTATTAATTTCTGTTTGTAAATTAATTTAAATCAATTTGTAATAACTAATTCATTTAAATTGATTAAGACAAAATTTGTTAAAATTAATTTCAAATCCATAGAACGAATTTCTGTACTCAAAATTAATATAAATAATTATAAAAAAATTAATGTAAATTAATTTCAAGTTTTTCGAAACTAAAATAGGTACTTATTTCGGTTTAGAAACATTTTCAAGAATTGTTTGACTGTCATTGGATTTCTCGCAAAAAGTAGCTTCGGGAAGCTTAGCCTCTAACTATATCAGATATACTATGCGGAATTTCGGAGTCTTCTTAAGCATTTTGAAAAATATATTGAAATCTTCATCAAGTAATTTGAATTAATTTAGTCTCAAATTCGTTTAAATTAATTTGATATGACATTAACTACGATAAACCTGAAAAAATTAATTCAGATTCATTTTAAATTGAAAATGGTTCTGAATTAATTTCTTTCAGATTAGTGTAGATCGATTTAATACTAAATTGAGGTAATGGTATTTTGGAAAAGCATTAATTCAAATTAGTTTAAAGTTTTCGAATTAATCTAGACTAATTCAAAATTCGAAATCCGTTTCACTTAATTTAATATGAGACTTTGTGTGATGCCGTGACGAGGAAAATTAAGTTTTTCACAAAAAAATCAATCAAAATTAATGCCAGTTTTTTTTCCTTTCTTAAATTTGGCTGAATTAATTTGAATTAAATTTTATGATTTGTTTTATATTTAATCAAAAAATTTAAATTGATGCGAATTAATTTTGAATGCGAAAAGGTTTTTAAAATTAAGGACACCCCTTCAGAAATTATCTCCAACACCGTACATCCGATCTTGACGAAACTTTCCATAAATGTTAGGCACAATGACTTACGGGAATGAAAAATTTTTTGTCTCCAAGTCTTGCGGTTTAGAAGTTTTCCAGAGATCAAGGTCCAAAAACGACTCTGAAGTGTATCCCAAGATTTTTTAATATACTTCAAGCTAAAGAGTTCGGATTTGTTTTATTTTAGCCTTTGTTAGTTTTCCAGGCAACCAACAACCTCCAAAACCCGAAAAATCCTTAGTTTGACAAAACACTAAGATCTAATTCAAAAATCGACGCCGGTCAGTCCATGTAGTTTCTTTTCCTCTTTTAAACAAAAACAGAATGAACTCTCTACGACAAACCGCTATTAAAAATCTTCGGACACACTTAAAATGTAACTCTTATATAGAGAAAACGCTGCATTAAACGCTGTATGAAATACTCGATTTTAGGACTTCTAGGAAAATGCCTGTAACTTTTTGATGCAAGGTCAGATAGAGTTGTGCGAGATCTTATTTTGATCAGAAACGTTTACTCTACAAATCTGTGTATTCAGAAAAATTTTAATTGCATAAGTATCCAGGAAAAACCTATTATTTGAAGACCCGGCTTTTTGAGGCTCTTAGAAAACTTGCTCAGAATCCCCGAAAAAACAGTTCTGTAACCAAAAGTAATACAGATTCTGGAAGTAGCCACTTCAGGCTATTTTTCCATGTGTGTATCTCAAAATCGGTTTTTTGACCGAAAATCACCATTTCTGAGGGGGAGGGCCTTAATCTGAACGATTTTCCTTTTAAATTTATTCAGATTCCTTTAAATCTCGAAATCAGTTTGCATTAATTCGAAAGTATTTAACAGTTCCAATGGGTATGGCACCCCTGCGCAGGGGTGCTAAATCGAAAAACGCTTGCAGGTCCTGCGCAGGCTCCTGTCACGCTTTTTTTAGGCTACCGCAACCATTTTTTTTATAGGGTGTCGAAGTCATCCAACTATCATGTACATCTTCTCTTGTAGTTAGTTATTTTCAGCGTCGTTTTCAACATTTTGTTCAAACATTTGTATCAAAAATACAAACAAACTCTTTGTGATTGATTAAACATAAGTGGATAACTTTTGTTGTCTGCGCTGTTTGGATTCTCATGATCACAGATTTATGTTGTGTTATACTATATGATTAGGCTATTACTGATCGAAAATAAATGTTGATGCGTTCTACTCTCAGCTTTCAGACTGACTTCTACTAACTGTTTGAAACGTTAAAAACGATCTGTCATATCGAGTTGAAATAGATTTGGCTGGAGTTTTTTTGCAGACGAATTGAAGAAAAATCTTTTTTGCAAGTTACTTATAAACATAAGGACATGACTAGTTCAAAAATATCGCTGCTCAGGTCTTTTTCGTTACCGCGATAGGCTGCATTATCCGTAAAATAACTACTTTTTCTACCTTTATGAATAAAATAACCATAAGTAGCTCGTGTACAGTATAGAGACATGTTGCTAGGTGCGAGCTTAGTTGTCATCAGTAGAAATTGTGAAAAAATTCAGAAGTCCGACATGGTTAAAAATCGAAAAAGTCCAAAACCGGCAAAATTTGCGTGCTCACTCCACGCATGGAAACGTTTTTATAAAACCACAGCTGCCAGAGAATTTAAGTATAACGTTACAGCTGCCTAAGTAATCAATTTCACCAAAAAATCTTGTCTTCAGTTTTTAGGAAATAATGTTTCTTATCTCGGTAAGGGAAAAGACCTGAGGAGAGATATTTTCAAATTAGTCATGTCCTTATGTTTATAAGTACCTGGTAAAAAAGATTTTTCTTCAACTCGTCTGCAAAAAAACTCCAGCCAAATCTGTTTCGCCTCCATATGGTTATGGGCAGGTTGAATCATGTGATAATTTTCATTTGTAGAAAAAGGTGGCTTTTTTTAAAAGAAACCATTTTTATCCCATATTACGTACAATTGATCCCAAAGGTCTAAAAATTTCAGACAAAAATTTGTATTTTGGTTGTACAACATTCTACTTGGTATTATAATCACCAGAAGAATGGAAAAACTATTTTGATGTTGGAAACGGGTGTTTCTCAGAAAACTTTGAAATCAAATGCGAATTTTTTTTACAATTTAGAGCCACTAATTATATTTACTATATAAAATTAATTTTATTACTTTTAATTATTCGTTTGCTGTCTTATTCAACTTTTTTCCAAATAATATAAAGTGTTCGTTCCTTTTTCTTTCTATTAAAAATGATATACAACATAAATACCATAGACTTTATGAAAAAAAGTTAGATTGGAATTTTCGATCTTTTATCAGAGAAAATTTGAAGTCATCTACATAATCAAATTACTTTACTGTCTCACTCCTGTACAGACCTTTTTATTCTTAAAATTCTTTAAGTTATTTAAGACTCAAATTTCATTAAAAAATATTATTGTTCTAGTGAAAAGTCCTTCTTTCCCACTTAGACATTTGTAATACAAAATACCTTCTAAAAAAAGCTGTGATCTCATGAATGTTAGCTGCCTGTTTTTCATTGACCTTTCCAATTTGGCATTCGTTTTTCATTGTAAGCTCTGACTCCTTCATATCTATCTTGAGTATCAACTAATGTTCGATAACATTCTAATTCAATTTCTCGTGCACGATCTATACCATGACCTTGTCCTAGATTAATTGCACGTTTGATTTGTTTAACAGATAATGGAGCATTTGCTGCTATACTTCTTGCTAATTCTAATGATTGAGTTAATACTTCACCTGGTGATGTAAGTAGTTGAACAATGCCAAATTCAAATGCTTCACGAGCACTCAAACGACGACCTGGAACATACAAAGAGTGAGAAATTAATGATCAACAGTTCATATGTCACATTAACCTGTAATGGTTATTTCTTTTGCTTTTGCTGGACCACATAGTCTTGTTAGTAATTGTGTTCCACCTCCACCAGGCATTATCCCACGAGAAACTTCTGGAAGTTGAAAATGTGATTTATCACTAGCTATTATCAAATCGCAATTTAACGCTAATTCAAATCCACCACCAACGGCAAAACCTTCAATGGCTGCTATTGTAGGTATTTCTAATTGTAAGAGACTTTCAAACATTTGTTCAAATATTTGATGTTGTTCATGCCATTGTTCAGTATTCAATTGATTACGTTCTTTTAAATCAGCACCTGAACAAAAAGTATCACCTTCACCATTTAAAATTAACACACGAAAAGTGGAATGTTGATCTTTAATCCAGGCGCAACTACGAATTAAATCTTTGGCTAATTGAGTATTGAAAGCATTACGAACAGATGGACGATTAAGAGTCAACTGAATAATTGAATTATCATGCAGTGTACTTTTAAGGATGGAAGTGCTCGATGTACTAACGAGAGACGATATTCTACGAGAAAAAATAGAAAGTATCGAATGTTGACTTAATAAACGATGGATCATCTAAAATGAGATGACGCAAACTACATGTGACTAAAGAAATCTTACGTGATTTCTTAACGAGAAGTATACGTTTCTTAACATTTACAGTTGATCTGTGATATGGAAACTATCCACTGTATACTAATCATTTCTGCTGCGAACACGTCATTAAAAAAATTAATTAATCAGTCTCGACAACTAATTATTGAAGAAAATAATGTATAACTATGCAATAGTTAAGTTGCTTTAGAACAACAAATGTCAATAGATAATGTTGCATTGTCTATCGAATTTCAAAGATCATCAGAAACGAGAACATCGACTGTAGATGACAATATCATTAACTGAGTCTGGAATACGATTTAAATGATAGACATCGAAATCGCTCATCATAATTGTTCATATATTCATAACAAAGACATAATTTAATAGATCTGAAATTAGAAGATGAATATCAACACCATGACGACATATATTTTCAGGACGTAAAAAATCTCTATTGCACTAACAAGTGATTGCGCTTGAGACCAATATCTCCATCTAAATACACTCATCATAACTTCTTTCGATAGTTTATGCTGTCATATCAAATAATAATAGAGTATGGATGTTCATTATCAACTTCTCCCATAAATATTTTATCAAATACTTATTGTTTTAGTCTTTAACGTACTTTTTAAACGTGTGTTAATCAGGCTATTAAAAACCCAGTGGCCTCAGTTATTTTTAAATAACTTTTGATAGAAAAATTGTAGAGACCCGTGGTCTTCAGCAATCAAAAGACGACAGTTTAAGCTGTATTTTCCACACGCAAAATCATCTTTCATAAACATTCCGAAGATCGGTTTTCTACAAGATCTTTGTAACACCCGCTCCG